AAATGCATTCTATATATGATATGATAATAATATATTATTACGATCATAAAATAAAAAAAAAAAAAAAAAAAAATATATATAATATAAATTTTTTTTTAAATTTTTTTTTTTTTTTCACTGATTGTATTAATATACTATATTATTTTACAAGAAAACTCTCCCGTTTTAATCAGACCAGGGTTATTCTGAATTAATATATCATGGCAAAAAAATTAGTAATAATAGAAAATATAATTATTTTATTAAAAATTATTAAAATTGAATGAAATTCTAAAATTCTGAAATTCTAAAAAAACTGACTCAATTTAGCTCATCTTTATGCATTGAACTCGGTGAAGGTTGGGATGTCATACAAGTTACAGAGACCCAGATCAGTAATAATAAGCAAAAAATGAATTCTATATATCAGTAAAAAATAAAAAACAAAAAAAAAACAATATATATATAATATATATATATATTTAAAAAAATTTAATTTTATTTATTTATTTTTTTCCCACTGATTGTATTAAAATAGTAATATTCCATAATATATATACTATATTATGTTAAAAACTCTCCCGTTTTAATCAGGCCAGGGTTTACTCTGAATTAAAATATCATGGCAAAAAAAAATAGTAATAATAGAAAACGTCATTATTTATTAAAATTATTAAAATTTAACCCAACCAAAGATTTTTTGGGAGGGTGTGGAAGGGATAGAACCTGATTTTTGTTCCCCGCATGGGGAAATATCCGCTTATTCCTGTCCTGGTGACCACATAAAATGTTCCTAATAGAAACACACATGGTATTTAAAAAAAAAAAAAAAAAGAAAAGATTTACACCTCCAAAAAATCGGTTAAAAAAATATTTTTTTGCTGGAGATCTAATTTGAAATCTTTTTTAATCTTTGAGGTGGGTGTGAGCAGGAGGCCTGGACGACAGTTTTATAAAAGGGTCATTTTCAGAAGGAGACAGACAAGGAGGAGGAGGAAATATGAGACGTATTTACCGTTCTCCAGAAAGAAATCTCGGCAGCACACAGGTCCAGGATCGATAAATTGGCTAAAATTGTCACAATCTGAAAAGTTTGTAAGAAAAGCACATTCATGAGTTTTAGATTCGATTTCTCGACGTAAATGTAATTGTTTTATACAAAATTTAATAGGTACTTGCTCTGGGTGAAAAACTGACCTTCAATCTGGAGCTGTCCCCCCCCCGCAGTACCTCTTCTGCACCATAAGATGTCCTCAGTCTCCCAGGCTGAATGACACCCAGGACAGTCAAGTGAGTGCAGGGTGTCACTGGCCCACCACCCCCTAAGGGCAGCCCTCCATTCACGGTGTAATGACACCTACAGCAGTCTCAGCACTGAGGAGGACCAGCCACCATTGGGAGAAGATCTAAAGCACATGTGTCAAACACAAGACCCGAGGGCCAAATCCAGCCCACCAGGCCATTTCATGTGGCCCTCACCTGAGGGTTGCGCCCCCACCTAGTCTCAGCAGTCAGCATCAGAGAGGAAGACAGAACACCTCCTGTAGATCCTGTAGATCCTGTGCTTCTCTGTGCAGCTGCAGCACCCCCCCGGTCTCAGCATTTTCGGCAGACTCCTGGCATCTGACTCCAGCCCTCCTCTGGTCCTCCTCCAGACTCTGCACTTTCTGCTTCCCGCTCCACCCCCCAGCTTCATCCTGGCAGCAGCACAAGTATATATATATATATATATATATATATACTGTATGTTGAAATATTTTATATATATTCTTCCCAAAGTTATTGACATATATTGAAATACTACAATTTTTGGCCGCATTCACTGTATTTCAAAAATATATTTATATATATATAACTGTATGTCTTTAAAAAAATAGATTCACGCAATCTACATTTTTGGAATGAGTTTACAAATATATGTAAAAAAATACATAAATAACTATTTTACATGTTAAAAAAAATTTGAAGAATGTATTTTAAAAAAATATATTTCTAAAAATATTTTTCATATATTTTGTAATATATAAAAAACGCATTTCAACATTTAGTATATAATATATATATTCTTCCCAAATGTATTGACAGATATTTGAAATACTACAATTTTGACTGTATGCAGTAAAAAAAAATATATATATATATATATATATACTGTATGTTTGAAATATTATATATAGAGTATTTTTCTTTCTTTTTTTTTTAAATATACTGAATATGGCCAAAATTGTAGCATTTCAAATATCTGTCAGTACATTTGGGAGGAATATTTTTAAAATATATTTTTCCTCCATGTGGGTGAAGGCAGCAGTCCAAAGTCCGATGGACCACAGCTAAATATTCTGCGCGACCCAAACTCAGCCACAAGAGAAATGTGATAGGACAATCGGGGTGCCCATCCCCCCCCCTCGATCTTGCCCCCCATCTCACAATTTTCCCTCCTCGCACCCCCTTGATCTCCCCCCCCCCCCCATCTCACAGTTTCCTTTCTCACCACCCCCCCGATTTGCCCCCCCCATCTCACAGTTTTCCCTCCTCACACACCCCCTTGATCTCGGCCCCCCCATCTCACAGTTTTCCCTCCTCACACCCCCTTGATCTCGGGCCCCCCTATCTCACAGTTTTTCCCTCCTCACCCACCCCCCCTCGATCTCGCCCCCCATCTCAGTTTCCCTCCTCACCCCCCCCTGATCTCCGCCCCCCCCCATCTCACAGTTTCCCTCCTCACCCCCCCCCTCAATCTCGCCCCCCCATCTCAGAGTTTTCCCTCCTCACACCCCCTTGATCTCGGCCCCCCCATCTCACAGTTTCCCTCCTCACCCCCCCTCGATCTCCCCCCCCCATCTCACAGTTTTCCCTCCTCACCCCCCCCCCTCAATCTCGCCCCCCCATCTCACAGTTTCCCTCCTCAACCCCCCCTCGATCTCGCCCCCCCCATCTCACAGTTTTCCCTCCTCACCCCCCCTCGATCTCGCCCCCCATCTCACAGTTTCCCTCCTCACCCCCCCCGATCTCGCCCCCCCCCATCTCACAGTTTCCCTCCTCACCCCCCCCCCTCAATCTCGCCCCCCCATCTCACAGTTTTCCCTCCTCACACCCCCTTGATCTCGGCCCCCCCCATCTCACAGTTTCCTTTCTCACCACCACCCCCCAATTTGCCCCCCATCTCACAGTTTTCCCTCCTCACACCCCCTTGATCTCAGCCCCCCCATCTCACAGTTTTCCCTCCTCACACCCCCTCGATCTCGGCCCCCCCATCTCACAGTTTTCCCTCCTCACCTCCCCCCCTCGATCTCGCTCCCCCCATCTCACAGTTTCCCTCCTCACCCCCCCAATCTCGCCCCCCCCATCTCACAGTTTTCCCTGCTCACCCCCCTCAATTTTGGCCCCCCCATCTCACAGTTTTCCCTCCTCATCCCCCCCTTCAATCTCACCCCCCCATCTCACAGTCTTCCCTCCTCACCCCCCCTTCAATCTTGCCCCCCCATCTCACAGTTTTCCCTCCTCACCCCCCCTCAATCTTGGCCCTCGCATCTCACAGTTTTCTCCCCTCACCACCCCCCCCTCAATCTCGCCACCTCATCTCACAGTTTTCCCTCCTCACCCCCCCTCGATCTCGGCCCCCCCATCTCACAGTTTTCCCTCCTCACCCCCCCCCTCGATCTCAGCCCCCCCATGTCACAGTTTTCCCTCCTCACCCCCCCCTTGATCTCGGCCCCCCCCATCTCACAGGTTTTTCCCTCCTCACCCCCCCCCCTCGATCTCGGCTCTCCCATCTCACAGTTTTCCCTCCTCACCCCCCCCCCTCGATCTCAGCCCCCCCATGTCACAGTTTTCCTTCCTCACCCCCCCTCGATCTCGGCCCCCCCCCCCCCATCTCACAGTTTTCCCTCCTCACCCCCCCCCCCTCGATCTCGGCTCTCCCATCTCACAGTTTCCCTCCTCACCCCCCCCCTCGATCTTGGCCCCCACATCTCACAGTTTTCCCTCCACACCCCCCCCCCCTCGATCTCGCCCCATCATCTCACAGGTTTCCCTCCTCACCCCCCCCTCGATCTCGGCCCCCCATCTCACAGTTTCCCCCCTCACACAGCAATTCCAATCTCTCTATTTCTAAACTTACAAAAAACAAATCGGTAAAAAGTGGTAAACTGTTGGCACTTGTGAGTGATTTGGGAAGTAGTCGGAAGTGTCATTATGGCGTCTCTCTGTCACTCATAAATAGAATTTAGCTAAAGAGGGAAAAAAAAACCCCGAAACCTTCTTGAATCCCGCAAGGTGACGCCGTAACGAGATGCACCAGACGCGTTCATTACCGCCGAACGGCGCCCGATGACTGAAGGTTTTCATCAATATAATCATCAAATTTCAAATGCAAAAAAATATAAATGTGATTGCGAGGTTATCATAAATGTTTCAATTACATCTCCCTAATTATGGAGCGCGGCGATGCTACCTCGGAGGGATTCAGCCGCGGTTGTGATTTCATTATCTTTTAGGAGTAAAACATGCAGTTATCAGCCGCAAAATGTCCCCCTCGTGACTTCCATCCCAACTTCACCGCGCCACTTCTCTCTCTGCAACTTCCATCCAGCGGGGAACCAGGAAGAGATGGATGGAGGTGCCGGAAGGTGGTGGAGGTGCGGGAAGGTGATGGAGGTGCGGGAAGGTGGTGGAGGAACCACTTCGCAAAATTCATTGGGGGGAGGGGGGGGGTTGGTCTACAAAAGGATCACAATTTAAGTAATTTGTGGCACTTCCATTATTTGTTCCCATCATTTCCTCCAATTTCTTGGTCAGGATCAATGGCACCACTATTAGCCCATCCCCCCATGCCAGGGTGCGAGGGGGAACCCCGGATTCTGAACTCTCCTTCCAGGCCCACATCCAATCCCTGTTCAAATCATGGCACCTCAACCACCAACATCTCCAGAACACGCCCCTTTATAACCAGTGACACCACAATGGTCCTAATTCACTCCCGGGTCATCTCCCGCCTCGACTACTGCAACTCTCCTCATTGGATGACCTTTACATAGGCCACACACCCCCTCCAGTCCATCATGAACACTGCTGCCAGGCTCATTCAGTGTCCTCCACCCCTCTCTGCTAATCCCTCCACTGGTCTCCACTCAGTGTCCTCCACCCCCCCTCTGCTAATCCCTCCACTGGTCTCCATTCAGTGTCCTCCACCCCCCTCTGCCAATCCCTCTACTGGCCTCCATTCATTGTCCTCCACCCCTCTCTGCCAATCCCCTCCACTGACCTCCACTCAGTGTCCTCCACCCCTCTCTGCCAATCCCTCCACTCAGTGTCCTCCACCCCCCTCTGCCAATCCCTCCACTTGCCTCCACTCAGTGTCCTCCACCCCTCTCTGCCAATCCCTCCACTGGCCTACACTCAGTGTCCTCCACCCCTCTCTGCCGATCCCTCCACTGGCCTCCACCCCCCTCTGCCAATCCCTCCACTGGCCTCCATTCATTGTCCTCCACCCCTCTCTGCCAATCCCTCCACTGGCCTCCACTCAGTGTCCTCCACCCCCCTCTGCCAATCCCTCCACTGGCCTCCACTCAGTGTCCTCCACCCCCCTCTGCCAATCCCTCCACTGGCCTCCACTCAGTGTCCTCCACCCCCCTCTGCCAATCCCTCCACTGGCCTCCACCTGTCCTCTCTCTCTGCTAATCCCTCCACTGGCCTCCATTCAGTGTCCTCCACCCATCTCTGCCAATCCCTCCACTGGCCTCCACCCCTCTCTGCCGATCCCTCCATTGGCTTCCACTCGCCCCAATGAATAAAATTCAAAATATTAACAACTTACAAAGCCATCCACAACTCTGCCCCCCGGCTACATCACCAAACCGCGCTCTTCCATCCTCCCAAGACCTTCTGCTCTCTAGTTCCCGTCACCTCCTCCCACGCCAGGACTTCTCCCAAGCTTCTCCCATCCTATGGAACTCCCTACCCCAAACTGTCCGGCTGTCTCCTAATCTATCCACCTTTAGACGATCCCTGAAAACCTCTATTTAAGGAAGCCAATCCTGCTTCTAGCTAGTAAACTGCCATTTATTTCCTCCATCCGCCCATCCCCCCTCACAGCTATTACCTTTTGTATCACTCAACCCTTCCTCCTATATTGTAAGCTCCCAGGATCAGGGCCCTTTACAGGTGTAGCGCTGCGTGTACATAATTATTTCTGTGCACTTCCCATAGAAGGTGAAAACCCTTCCCGGAAGAGATATATAAGGGGCGCTTGCTTCTTTAAAGAAATTTAGGTGGTGCTGGTGACCATGTATGACCAGTTGTTGGATAGAACTTTGGGCTGAGTGTCGAAGAGAAAAGTTATTGTTGTTGAGGAAGTTTGGTTCAAATTTTTGTTGCTATAGAGCAGGGGGTCCCCAAACTTTCCAAACAAAGGGTCAGTATACTATCCTTCAGACTTTAGAAGGGCCGGGTTGGGGCCAGTGAGGATAGAAAATGTCCTGGCGCCAGCATCAGCGAGAATCAACATGGCCTCAGGGTAGGTGGTCTGTAGAAGGAGGAGTAGTGCCCATCATTAGTGGGAAGACTAGTACACCATCATTGGTATTAGTGGGAAGAATAGTACACCATCATTGGTTTCAATGGACGAAGTGCTGCCCCATTGTTGGTCTCAGAAGGTGGAATAGTGCCCCAAGGGCCGGACAAAGGGAGTAGTGCCTCATCATTGGTATTAGTGGGAAGAATAGTGCCCCATCATTGGTTTCAATGGACGAAGTGCTGCCCCATTGTTGGTCTCAGAGGGAGAAATAGTGCCCCAATGGCCAGATAAATGGTAGCAAAGGATCAGATCCGGCCCTTGGGTCGCAGTTTGAAGACCTCTGCTATAGAGAATCAAGAAAAGTCAGTGCATTTTAGGGAGGATAGAAAATATCCTGGCCCCAGCATCAGCGAGAATAAACATGGCCTCAGGGTTGATGGTCAGTAGGAGGAGGAGTGCCCCATCATTGGTATTGGTCGGAGGAATAGTGCCCCATCATTGGTGTCAGTGGGAGGAATAGTGCCCCATCATTGGTGTCTGTGGGAGGAATAGTGCCCCATCATTGGTATCAGTGGGAGGAATAGTGCCCCATCATTGGTATCAGTGGGAGGAATAGTGCCCCATCATTGCTATTAGTGGGAAGAATAGTGCCCCATCATTGGTATCTATGGACGAAGTGCTGCCCCATTGTTGGTCTCAGAAGGAGAAATAGTGTCCCAATGGCAAGAAAAAGGGTAGAAAAGGGCCACATTCGGCCCTCGGGTCGCAGTTTGAAGACCTCTGCTATATAGAATCAAGAAAAGTCTGTGCATTTTAGGGGGAGCTGCCTTCGGCTTCTTCAGGCCGTGGATACGATTGGACTAGCTGTGAGACTTGAATTGACTTGAATTGAGATACCTGAAATGAGGTTGGATTTGAGCCGTTGGATCAGTCTTCTTGGAAACGACTAACTGGCTCTCCTCAACACTCAACCCAAAGCTTTACGCCTCCCGTATGTCCACTTTTGAGAGTGGCAGCAGCCCAAGACCAGAACGAGGTTGAGTCTACATCGCTCATTCAAGGTTTGCCAGCCCCTTTGAAGGAGGACTCAAGGAGGACTCATTCGGGATCAAATCCAAAAGCACCAACATCCCACATCTATCGGTTCCGTGGTATCACACACACACAAACCACTTGTTGGACAACTCTTACCTGGTCCCGAGCGTAGGCGGTATTGACTCTTTGCTTGTCTGAACATGCATTCAGCAGAATTTTCACAGCACCCATCTGTAAGATCATCTCGCAGGCCAGACTGTCGAAAAACGTGATATTGGCCAACGCAGCAGAAGCCAGCAGACATGACTCCCCCGTGGACGCTTCTTCACACAATTCTACAAACAGAGCACATTATTGCTCCTTGAACCCTCTGAGAAGGCATCTAACAATCCAACCTTCAAGCATTTTACATTTTATAATAAGTTTTACATATACAAGATTGGGACCGTATAAAACACTAACTCAGTCTTTGGACGTGAACTTTGCGTGGAACATTTTTGATCCTTTTTCTTTTTTTTTTTTCTTTTACTTATTTTTTTTTTTTCGGTTTCCTGAATGTTACACAATTTTATTGCCTCCTGAAAAATTAAAAATGGGGTCTGACCATATGTATACTATCCACAAGAAAAATATTGGCAATTTTAAAAAGAACCCCAAAGCATTTTATTTGTCATAATTCCCAAAATGTTAGATTTAGAGCTCCATAAGCTGGTATCCCTTCAACAAATTTTTTTATCCTCTGACATTTATCTTGACTAACCTAGCGCATCGTCGTTACCTGAATCCTTTTCACCGGATCAGGTGTTTGGGGTTCACCAAAGTATTTTCTTCGTTTTAAAAGTTAATCATGCCGCCTGTTTAAGGGGCCCTCTGCCATTATTATTAGGACATCATTTACCCGTTGAGGAAATAATATACTTTCGGGAGGGTGATTGGGCAGATGATTCTTCTCGACAGATGAAGCAACTTTAATGGGTATTTGGGCATAAAGAAAGTGAAACCTCGGCTTGAGCAAACAAACGTAATCATCCCTGGCCTCACACCTATAGAACATTTCCAGAAGGCTGCTCAGGGGCGGGTCTAATTGTCCATTGTGAAGACCGTGGACCATCCTCCCTAGCCTTTAGTCTTGTGAGAAGCTGGTTATCTACCTCATGGAAACCACTGGAGGCCAGGAGAAGACACCTTCAAACAAGATACCTTATGCAACAGGATTTCTCTATAATTAATCATGCAGCCTGGTCAAGGGGCCCTTTGCCATTATTATTAGGACATCCTTTACCCATTGAGGAAATAATATACTTTACGGAGGGTGATTGGGCAGATGACTCTCCTCAACAGATGAAGCAACTTTATTGGGTATTTGGGCATAAAGGAAGTGAGCAAACAAACATAATCATCCCTGGCCTCACACACCTATAGAACATTTCCAGAAGGCTCCTTAGGGGCGGGTCTAATTGTACACTGTGAAGGCCATGGACCACCCTCCCTGGCCTTTAGTATTGTGAGAAGCTGGTTATCTACCTCATGGAAACCACTGGAGGCCAGGAGAAGACACCTTCAAACAAGATACCTTATGCAACAGGATTTCTCTATAATTAATCATGCAGCCTGGTCAAGGGGCCCTTTGCCATTATTATTAGGACATCCTTTACCCATTGAGGAAATAATATACTTTACGGAGGGTGATTGGGCAGATGACTCTCCTCAACAGATGAAGCAACTTTATTGGGTATTTGGGCATAAAGGAAGTGAGCAAACAAACATAATCATCCCTGGCCTCACACACCTATAGAACATTTCCAGAAGGCTCCTTAGGGGCGGGTCTAATTGTACACTGTGAAGGCCATGGACCACCCTCCCTGGCCTTTAGTATTGTGAGAAGCTGGTTATCTACCTCATGGAAACCACTGGAGGCCAGGAGAAGACACCTTCACTACGAGATACCTTATGCAACAGGATTTCTCTATAGTTAAATTGTTTTGAAGCAATATGTAATATTATAAACGCTCAGAAAGCGCCGCAAAAGCGCGGTAAAAACGCCTATGTGTTTTTGCGGCAGATCAGTGTGAAAGTAGTCTTACCTTTATGTATTTGACTATAGCAGGTCTTTATTTTGACACCCGATATACAATTATTCTTATATGTGCTGGGTAGGGTTGGAGAAAAAATGAGAGCTTTAACCTCTTGCTGTCCGCCTGCTGTTTATAAACGTCAGGACGGTGGCAGTCCAAGGTCGGGTTGCCGTTCCTAAACGGCACCCGCCTTTTCTAGCTGTGCGCGCTCCCTAGGAGCGCGCACCACCGCGATCCGGTGTCCGCTGTGTCCTCCGGACACAGTGAAACACCGATCGTCGGACGGGACCTCTGTACGAGGTCCCGGTCATGTGATCACTGATTGGCGAATCAGTGATCACATGCAAAGTAGTAAGCAAGATGTCACTTGTGACATCATTGCTTACTACGTGTGAAATCTGTGAATGATCACAGAGGTCACATGGTACAAGGCTATTCACAACAGCCTTGTACCATGTGACAAGCTGTGACCAATCACAGCTCACTCAGTATTTCTCAATGACTGCAAGAATGCAGACAGAGAGAGAGAGAAATGATTGCTTTTACATCCTATATGGGTGTAAAAGCAATCAGTGTAAAAAAAAAAAAAAAAAATCTTCATCACCCCCCACAAGTAGTACAGTGTCACCGTGGTGACACTGTACTGCTAGGGTGACAGTATGTAAAAAAAAAAAAAAAAAAAAAATAATAATAATAATAATAATATAAAAAAAAAAAAATAAAAATGTAAAAAAAAATGTTTAAAATTGTAA